TAAGAATTTCAGGTTAATAGCTTGAGCTTCAGGTTTCTTGAAATTAAGGGGTTTCCATAAATGTTTGATAGATACAATTTACTTTTTCTCTGCAATATTTGGGTAGCTTAGCAGCAGATTCAGAGAGCGTCTAAATAAAGTTTTCTTAATAAAAGCTTTGAAGGAAAAATGAATTAGAAAAATGAGGATGCTAATGAGAGCACCTTGAAATGGTTGGCTATGGATAAGAAGGACATAATACATAAGGACATAAGACATGAACTGCTGTAGGATGAGCATAGGAAAGAAATCTATAGCATTGATTGCAATTAAAGTCAAAGATCTAGTTCTTTTGAGTAAAGTCTAGCATTTTTCTTGATATAGAAAGACCAGCATGGTTTGTTCCATCTGTTTACTTTTTGACTTCATCTTGTACTACTCCCCTGTCCTCTAACTTTTTGGCAAACAGCCCGGTACGGTCCCTTCTTGGCACACTTGCACTTGCTGTTCTCTCCTTATAGAAAGCTCTTACCTTGGACATCTGTATAACTTCCTTCTTCTTTTCCCGCAGGTCTTTTCAGTGAGTCTTATCTTGCTTCATCCTCTCTAAAATTGGGTGAAAAAATAAGATAAAGACCTAAACATATTCTCTCTGGCTTCTTTGCTTTATTTTTTCTCAGAACTTATCCCTCTATCATATTCCATATTTAGCACATTTAAAATGCTTTATTTATTTATTTAGTTAGTTATTTTTGCATATCTGTCATTAGCATGTATACTTTAAGAGAACAGATAATTTTTTTTTTTTTTTTATGCCTACAGCACCTAGTCTTCCTAGGTGGTCTCCCATCCAAGTACTAACCAGGCCCGACCCTGCTTAGCTTCTGAGATCAGACATCGGGCTTGCTCAGGGTGGCATGGCTATAGACCATGGACCATGGTTCCACTGCGGTGCCAACCCAGGACCTTCTGCATGTAAAGCAGAGGTGCTGACTGCTACACTATGGAACCACATCCAACAGATAATTTTTTTAACTGACTTCACTGCTACATTTCCTGCACTTAGGAAGTACCTGGCAAATGGTAGAGACTTAATAGTATTTGTAGGTGGGAAAGAAATAGAAGAGAGGGGGGATGTGGAAAGTTGTCCTGAGGCTTGGGAATCTTAGAGTTGGAACAGTTCAAAATGATGACTCAGATATGGAAGCTCTATAGTAAAGTTAGAATAAACGTAGACTTCTAACACAGGACAGATTTTAGAACAGTTACCTATTTGACATTGTAGACACCAAGGATCCTCACAGATTTGGAGAATAGGAAGAGTGTTAGTACTTATAATTCAGTGCTGAAATTTTTATGTTAGAGGGAAGTTTCTTAAGGTTAGTAAACAACAGGAGGAAAAATGAAGACATTTAAATAGATGGCATGGATTTCAATAGAGGATTTACTCAGGCACGAGTTCTTCACTGTTCCCATTGGTCTGTGTTCAGCTATTACAGAAGTTATTATAATTAGCACTTTACCTACATTTCTTTACTAACACTGTAAAGCACTTTTAATCTATAGCTTCCCAGCACTTAACAGGGGCCTGGTATATAGTATTCTTAGTAAGTATGAGCTGAGCAAAATACTTATTGAATTAGAAAATGTTGCTATAACTGTGGAATTATGGTGTAGGAGCCAAGCGCATTCTACCTCTGGGTCTTGTCAGTTGATCAGAAAGGGCAGGAAAAGAGAAAGCCATGTTGTATATACATGAAGGAGCAGATCAGATGTTTTCAAGGTTAATACTTAGGATGAAGGAGGGTGTATTTTTAAAAAAACAATAAAAAAGTTGGAAACCACATGATATCACTTATATGTGGGATATAAACCTAAAAGCAACAAACAAACAGGACATACAAACAGAGACCCATTGACATGGACATGGTTACCAGAGAGCGGGAGGGATGGGAGAGGTAGGAAATAGATGGGATGAAAGGGGTCAAATATGTGGTGACAAAAAGAAATCTAACTATGGGCGGTGAATACACAATATATATAGCTGTTGAATTGTACAGCTGAAACTTACTAGATTTCATTAACCAATGTCACTATAAAAAAAAAAAGTGGTAGGGCTGGTAAAAGGATCATAAACAGGCATAATGTGAGAAGATGTGAAATCAATTATAGGAATAGGAAAGCAGATAGAAATAATGGTTATAGACTTGATAGTAATTTTCAAAGGAAATCTATAAGACCCAATAGTTGGACTGCTAAATGAAAATCGACACAAATAATTGAAGACATGGGAAGAGTAAGAAGGAAAGAAATATTTAGTAAGTTAAATTTTAGTTTGTAAAGAATATTGTAAAACAAAGTAGCTTAGAACTCCAGTTGGGAGTATCTTTTGTGATTGTAGGACTTCAACAAATACTTATTTGCCCTCGTTCTTGTTGGCAACAGTTTTAGCACGTGAGGACTGGTAAAAACCTAGACTTATCTGTGTGCTTCTCTCTTAGTCAGTGAACTTTATGGGTTAAAAGGGTTGAGCTAGTGGAATAGGTCTCTGCAGACTTGCCTGTCTTGTGTATGCCTTAATACTCTATGAAAATAGGATTTGCAAAGTATCCCCATTAGAATAAGATTTTAGTGTTATTCTTTAAGTTTCAAGTAACAGACTTACTTTATTGGGTACTGGTGCATATTATATTACATTTATACTTAGGGTTTACATTAAAATGTTTAGTCCTTAATATATGTTTAATTATGAAATTATTTCTAACAATATTTACACTTTTTAAATAATTTTTTTCTTTTTTCTGCTTATAGAGTTACATTTTATTTAGGAGATAGTTTGGGTTTTTTTTGTTTTTTGTTTTTTTTTTTAAGAAAGGTACTTACAGCCTGATACAATAGCATTCATTTTTAATAAATTCTGTTCCCATAGCCCAGAAAAGGCTTTAAAAGACTCACTGCAACCCTATGAGTCTGCTTATCTCTCAAAATCCTTATCTCGACTCTTTGATCCTATCAACTTGGTTTTCCCTACTGGTGGTCGTAATCCTCCTTCTGCAGATGAACTTGAAGGTATCATTAAAACTATAGCAAGGTATGTATTTTTTATATAATGACATGTCATAAATAGCTTGCCATGTCTGCTCCTCCTGTATGATAGCAGTGTATTTTCAGTTTATCTCAGATTATTCAAGTAATTAGTCCTGCAATTAAATCAAGAGTTTTGCAGTGAATGAGAACACATAAAGAAAGTATTTGAGATTCCAATTAATACAACCATTTAAGTACAGTCTAAAAATAGTCTCTTCTATTTAATAATTAGTCTCTAATTATTCTGTATCTTGTCAGATGCAAAGTAAACCTAATTCTTTATGCTGTAGTAAAGTTCTAGTATTACACATTAAAGAAAGTATAAATATAGTTTTACAACTATAGAGGATAATGTTTCTTATCTCAAATTCAGAAAGTACTTCATGGCACACATATGATTATAATCCTGACTAGTTTATTTGTGTTTGCTATTTTAAGCTTTCTAAATGAATGTGTTAGCTTTTAAAACTCTCAAAAGGGAAGGTATCCCAACAGAGCTGCCACCCAAATGCTTATAGACAATGTAATTGTACTGTTGCCTTTAGACATTTACAGTTACTCAGATTAATTTGCAGCTGACTATCTCAATTCCTGTCATGGCTAATAAGTTGTCATAATAGTAGGTTTGTACATCTGATATGAACATTTTGAGGAGTAAAAATAGTGGTTAGCCAATATAGGACCAAGGTATAGAAATGCCTAGATTCTTTTAGACTATAAATTTGACAATGGTGATTCTGAGGCATGGGAGAATAAGACTAAGAAGCCTCAGGTATAATATATACATAATCATCTCTCCAACTGCATATATACCTACACAGTGTCTAAATTGCCCCGTTTCTTGATCCCAAATCTCTCCAAAAGTCCTGACTCTAGATTTTTTTTTACCCTAATATGTTTGTAATCTGTTCAGCATGGCCATGACAAAACAGCACTGTATTCAACTTGATCTCTTTGACCTGCTTATGGCAACATTAAAGAGGCATCTCTCCCATTCCTCTATGCAGCTTGACAATGCTGTAATCAAATATAATGTGGAGCTTATAGAAGCATACTTATGCCTGTGTTTAGAATTTAAATGTGAACATTAATAATATTATGTCTCACTATTATATGAAGGGGCATTTTTGTCACATATAGTTTGTATTAGTGTTGTTTCAAAGTGCTTCATTTTCTTCATAAAGAGAATCTTGTAAGTGCCAAGATTTATTCTTCTTCAGAGACAAGAATTACTTTTCCTGCTTTCTACCTGTATTGTGGGTTTTCATGCAACTTTTAACTCAATATTCTTTCCATGGTCTTTGTAAACACTTTTCATTGTTGTTATTGGTAGTTAGCTCAAGTATCCCAATTAATTCAATGTTAAAGTTGAAAATAACCATAACAAAAAAAAAATACTTTAAGAATTCAAATTTTAAAATTTCAAATTCTTGTTATGCTTTATATTTAAAAAGCTACTCTACACAAAATAGCTTGAATTGGCATACTTTCTATAAAAACTGAGTATCTTTATGTATTGTGTAATTTATATATTTAGCCTATGTCCTTCCAAGGTCATCATTTCCATGCAAGAGCTGTCATTTCCTTGCAGATGTCTGTGATATGCAGTGTCTCTAATTGTACTTATCAGTATTATCAAAAGTGCTACTTTTAAAATCTGTACACAATTTACTCTCTTAATCACAGCCTGAACCCACATATGACGTACTTTTATTAATGAGAAACTGGTCATTAACCAAGCCATCACAAAGTACTTTTTCTAATGCTGTATTTAGGAGGGAAAATGAAACAATGCAACCAATTCTTGGAAGCAGTTAGTGAAATCTATAAAAAGAATCACCATATTGCCTATTGGTTTTAGGTTTATATGTTGTTCTTTACTTTGTTGATGAACTATGCTGCTAATAATTAAAGTCTATTTTTGTTTTCTCCAGTGAACTAAATGTAGCTGCTGTTGATGCAAACCTCACATTAGCTGTGTCAAAAAACGTGGCAAAGACCATCCAGTTATACGGTGTAAAATCAGAACAGCTTGTAAGTGATACCTTTCCTGTAAACTTCCATGATTATGTTTAAAATGACTGATTAGTTGACTAACTATAAATATTGAATTGACTAAATTTACTGGCATTTTTACTTTAATGACCTTTTGAAACTTTCTGATGAATTTAAACCAGAAAAAATGTTACATCTATTTTAAAAATGGCCCTTCTACCATTGTTATACTTTCAGAATGCAGGCAGGTTTTATAAGGCTTTAAAAAAATGCATGTGCCACTCTCTGGGCTATGTATGTTTTAAAATATATTTTAGATTGATCAAATTTCCCCTTTCATGTGATCACTCACTGCAGATATTCATGCACTGTTACCTAGAGTGAAATTAACTTGAACTGTTAGAAAACGATTGGAGGAACTGACGTGCTTAAAATTGTAATAGAAAAATGTTCTAACCCCAGAGCATGGAAGTTTCACCCTAAAATTTTTCTGTTTGAAACTAAAACAATAGTTATGTGGCTGAAATTACCTTAATTCTGTACACTAATGTATTAAAATTAAGCATGTACATTTAACTAGTATGTGTATGCTAACTGAAATCTGAAAAATAGACTTCAGTATTTTTAACTGTCATTGATAAGCTAATTTTAGAGAATATGCCAAAATCTGATATCTCTACTATCTTTCTAGGGTAGCCAAAGGTGTTTTCAGTTTAGCCTCACTGACTGGTCTCAACTGAAATATTGTAAAATAAAATAATCTTGTTTTACCTGTGTCCTAGTTCCAATTGGTTCTGGAATAATTTTTAGGGTAGGTTGATAACAAGTTAATTGAAGGAATTTGTGTAAAACGATCCTTAATGATAACAGTATATTATGAGGCTTCCTACTTTCAGCTCCAAAGGATGGCCAGATTTGGTTTGCATATTAATATGGTGCTATTTTCCATTCTATTGTTCTTGCAGCCTTGACAAATAATTTAGAAGCATCTTTTTTTAAACTTTGTTTATTGAAAACTGGCCCTACAGAGACCATCAAAGCTCTTTGTAGGTAATTAGATGACTAATTTTTCTCTCAGGCTTTTTTTATAGAAGCTTTATTATGTTCATTGCTTTTTAAAAAATATGGTTTATTTTTATAAATGAAATTCAGTATTATATCCAGTAGAGTTAGTGTAATTACTAAAAATGTCAGGAAAATAATCCTTATAAGATGGTCCCACTTAAGGACAACAGTATAAGGAAGAACCGGCATGTATAATAAGGAAGTATTTTGCTTTTCTGGGGCAGGAGGCAGTGGGAATGGTAACTTGTGACTTCAGTTAAGGCAATAATGACAAAAGGCATTGACAAAATTAAAATATAGCAACAAACATCTGATTGAAATGATACTGTTGGTTGAATAGTCTGCAACTGTAAATTACTCAGGCCTACCAAAACAACTATGCTAAAGGTTAACAGAAAGTCATTGACTTTAAAAATTTTTAAGTGAATTTTTTCTTTTTCGGCTTTATTTTAGTGTGTGAAGAAAGCCTGAGTATTAAATAAAAGTACAAAGGGTATCATTTGCTTGTAAATGATAATTTACAAGCAATTGTAAAAATGCATTATTAATGACAAGTAACATTTTACTGTTTATCTTTTATTTTTTTGGCTGATAATAACATTATTTCTGGTACTGCTCTATGTTTTTAAATTTGATCTCTTTTATTCTTTGATCTTGCTATATTCCTATTCTTTTAGAATTATTTCACTGCAAACAGGAAAATTGCCAAAATTAAGTTTTTAGTGGGAGAAAGTCTTGAAACAGATTTTTCAGTAGACAATCTATTCTGTCTGTAAATGGAAATGTTGACTTGAAACTTGGTATGATAACTAAGTCTAAAACTGGAGGATTTTTTTATAGATGAAAAATTTAAGCCTCAAGTCCACAAGGTTGAAAAGTGTCAGAAATCAGACCATTAATGTAATGTTTAAGTAGTGAGATAAAGAAAAGCTAGAGTTTTAAAGGCAAACATGTTTTCAAAAAAAGTAACTTGAAAATACAAAACTTGAAATGTAGAATGAGCAACTTTCCAAGATCCTAAATTTATTTCCCTAAAGGTTAGTTGTGGAACTTTCTCGGCTCTTAGAACACTTTCATATACTTAATATAACTAATTCACTTCAGGATAAAGGCTCATAAAAGGATTTTTTTCAAGTTAGCACTTACTGTGGATCATCCTTATGGTCATTTAAACTCATTATATGTATCTGGATATATTCTTCCACATGTCTATGAAAACTGCATGTTGTTTCTTTTCATCCTCATTATTTTAATGTTCTAGGGCAGCAGTCCCCAACCTTTTTTGGCACTGGGGACCGGTGCTTCTATGGGAATCTAATGTCTGATGATCTGACGTGGAGCTGAGGCAGTGATGCTAGCTCTGGGGGGCGGCTGCAAATACAGATGAAGCTTTGCTGCTAGCAGGTCACTCACCTCCTGCTGTGCAGCCCGGTTTCTAACAGGCCAACCCTTGTCCTAAGATATGGTAGAATATAACATATATAAATTATACATATAGTACATGTATATGCTCATAACAATCCAAAGTTATTTTATCATCACACATGTACGTATTATTTTTCTAAGGCTTTTCTGTTATTAATCACTGAAATTGTAGGTTGTACAAGCCTAAACCTCTATAGGGAGAAATTCTTAATTTTTTTTTTTTTTTTTTTTTGTCTCTTAAATGATACCAGAGAACTCATTTTTTAAGGTTAGGTTAAGGTCATAAAAATAACTACCAATATTAAGCATTTATAGTAGCTTAGATTAGGCCAAGCTATTTACATATATTTCATTTATTTCACAACAGTCCTATGAAATGGAAGTAACAATATTTGTCACTACAAAATGTGGAAATTGAGTCTGAGAAGGGTTCGTAGCATAAACAATATAGACTAACAGTAGAATGCCAGCTAGCAATTATTGAAACTAGCATTGAAACTCAGATTCGACTCTAGACCAAGCTTTAAAACTCTCTTGTAGAATATTTACACAAATGTCTTTCTTTTTTATTTAAGAAAAGTGAGATTGTGATATACATATTGTTTTGTGATTTACTTATTCACTTTCCAATATGACATAGAGGTCTACATCTACGATTTTAATATATGTATATTTTATTTATATATTATAGTTTATTTAATTTCTATGCGTTTAGTGGATAGCGTCTTAGTACATTTGGGCTGCTGTAACAAAATGCCATAAACTGAGTAGCTTATGAACAACAGCAATTTATTTCTTATAGTTTTGGAGGCTGGGAAGCCCAAGATCAAAGTACCAGCACATTTGATGTCTGGTAAGAGCCTCTTTCATGGTTCATAGATGACCATCTTTTTCTCTGTAACCTTATAGGGTGGAAGGCACAAGGCTTTCTCAAACCTCTTTTATAAGGGTACTAATCCCATTCATGAGTATTCCACCCTTATGACCTAATCATGTCCCAAAAGTTCCACCTCCTAATGCTATCATTAGGAATTATGGAGGTATAAACTCTCAGATAATAACAGATACTTAGATGGTTTAGTAGTTTAAAATAGTAATAATAGGGATTTAGCTTTGCATTCTAACATGTTACAAGCAATAGAGTTTACTTCCTCTAATATTTATTTAATTTAGGATGTGTCATGTGAATATCAGCTCCCAGTGTGCTCTTTTGTGAAAATGAAATCAGTGTAATTTTTGAAATTCTCTTCATTTAAAAATTTTTATTGTTTGTCTTGACAGTGGTTGTAATTTACTAAGTAGAATTTTACATTTAAAATACACACAAATGCCTAAAGATGTATATATCATAATATTTTACGATTTAATTGAACAAATTAAATGATGATGTATTGGTAATTTGTATAGTTCTGAAATGTGACCTTCAGAAGACAATGTCACTAGACCTTGTTATGGTAATTTGAATCATTTTTTGTCCTCTGTATGTTAAAAAGAAATATATAAAGAAATTTTTGTTTTATAATTTATAGGCTTATAAACTTTTGTGGTATCAAAATTATTGGCAAATATACTAATAAGTATTCCATTTAGAAGATAAATTGTCAGGACATTTTCCAAAAAATGGTTTCAGGGGCTGACATCTAGAATCTTAGTATATAAATGTCAAATATTATAAACTGTGAAAAAGTAGATTGACATTTAATTAGGTTGCAGACCATTTGAAACAATAGGGATGACATTTAAAGGGGGAGTTTCACCTTCAGTGCAGGTCAGTAGCTGTGTATGAGATCAATAGTTCTAGATGGCAGTAGGGTTTTTTAAAGCTTTGTAAACATACATTTTATTCTTGAAATAATTTCATAAGTAATTTGGAGACTTGACATTCCTATAACGGAAGAAACCCTACATGTATGATATTTAAATTATGATATAGAAACATATGAGTTCAACACTTTTAGTTTTAAAAGGATTATTTAATGCAGATTTAAAAGTCATATACCTGGATATTGCCCCATATAATATCATATGGGAATAACACGTTATCATTCAAATAAATACTGATTTTTTAAAATATGAAATCACTAGATAGAGTTTTTATATTGTATGCAAACAAATGAAACATATCAGTAGATTCTCTTGAGCCAAATGAACTTTAGCTGTAATACAAATACACCGATCTCTTTGGATTACCTACCCTCTTGATTCTTTAGACAACCTTCCACACTTTCTTACATCTAGATATTCTTATATTGGGCTATTTTAGGATCAGTCTTATTCTTTAAAATAGCTCTGACTTGTTTCTCAGACTTGTGAAAGTAGTAGTTGGTTAATATTCAGTAGTTCATAGTGAAAACAGAAATGTCAAATAATCGTTATTGTCAGTAGGAAATGTTTTCAAGAGAAAGTCAAATCTTCAAAGTTGTTGATTAAAATCTGTCAAAATCTGAATTAATTTTCTGTTGCCACAAGAATGTTGTATTACAGACAACTGCACAAACTGAGTGGCATACAATAGGCATTTATCACTCATACTTCTCAGGGTAGATGGG